GTTTGGCTATTGCGGACATTGCTGCTATGAACATTGGGGTGCATATGGCCCTTCTTTTCACTACATCTGTGTCTTTGGGGTAAATACCCAGTAGTGCCATTGCTGGATCATAGGGTAGCTCTATATTTAATTTTTTGAGGCATCTCCACACTGTTTTCCAAAGTGGCTGTATTCTTGAAAAATTTAACAGGACAGTCCTGGGGTCCATGACCTTGGTGTACTCCTAGGTGGCTTGAATACATTGACATTGCCTTGCCTTTCCTTCCACAGGAAATGCTGAAGGATGAGGTGCGGACACTCACCTACCGGAACTCCATGTACCACAATAAGCATGTGTTCAAGGACAAAGTGGTGCTGGACGTTGGGAGTGGTACTGGGATCCTTTCCATGTTTGCTGCCAAAGCAGGGGCCAAGAAAGTATTTGGGGTGAGCATGCGACTCCCTCCCTCCTGTTGGCTCCTATAGAACCAGCTGCCTCCTACCTTCTCCTGTCCCTCCTACAAGTACAAATCTAGGTCCATTCCTTGCTGGGACCACACCCTCGAGGAGAGGTAGAGAAAATCAAGTGTGACTCTCAGGAGGTGGGGCAAGCTCGCAGGGCTCCCTGTCACTTGGGCATTGCTTCTGGCTCCTTTCCCTGACAAATGCTGACATTTACGGAGGATTTTTGACTTTCTGGAAATCATTCTGGTGTCATCATTACCTTAGAGCACTTAGTCCTACCATCAGCTTGAGAAGCAGTGCTGTGTGGTTATATGTGTGGGCTTTGGCTTGAATCTCTGCTCTGTGTGACTGTGGATAATTCACTTCTGTACCTCTGTTTCTCCATCTATAAATGGCCCTAGGAACAATACCTCGCCCATGCGGTGATTGTGAAGAATAAATGAGTTTAATACATATGTAAAGTGTTTAGAACAGGGCCTGGCATATGACCAATGCTCAGTGTCTAATATTAATATAGTTGGGATGAGGCCCTAGGGGATAATAACAAGACAATCTCCTTCCTTTGTTCGTTAAAGGGCAAGTTGGTAAGTTTAAATTCTGCTGCTCTGGCTGCTGCAGCCCCTCCAGATAGAAATGGAGGCTGACATAGAATGGAGGGCTCCCAGCCTTCCTCTGGCTACTCTACAGAGCTGGGCACTGCTTGATGACAGGGAGGCTGTGGGCTCTGGAGCTGGGAAGAAACTGTGAAAAAGAAAATCTCTTGAGTGGCTGGCTGATGTTTGAAAAACGCAGAGGGCCCAAGGCTAGAATATGGGAATTGGTCTTGAGCAAAATTTAAGACACACTACAATTAAGCTCCCAGTGTGCACACAAGACAGCTGCTTGCAGAAGCCCATGGTAGCTGAGCAACTTTCAGTGGGGCTTTGTTCTGTGTGCATTTAGCTGCGTGGTCCTGTAGCCTGTGCTGACAATCCCAGAGCCCTCCACATCCCCTTGGCCAACCCCGTTTGGCCTCAGAGGCCTGTCCCTGAGTCCCCAGCAGCGACAACGTTCCTTCTCCATGCCTCACTTGGAAAGTGCCTAGGCGTTGGCTGTAGAGGTCTTCTAGAAACCTGGGCCATCCTTGAGGCATCTCCACCACAGACTTGACTGAAAAAGCTGAGATGTACTCAGCTGAGGAGACGGGCCAATCCGGATGCCCCAGGTCAAGTCCTGCCCCTCCCCACCTTCCAGCTCTCCTTCACTGGGCCCTCCTCACCCAAAGGGAGGCTTTCCAGCAAGGGACAGACTCCACTTCCAATGAGGTCACAAAACCTCAGGGTGGGACTTGGTTTGTCTGGCCATCCCTCTGCCCGCCCTCCCAGCACTGTCTCAGAGGCCTCATCTCAGCCCCTGTCCAGCTGGGGAATGGGTAGCCAAGGGCTGAGCAATGAAAGGGCTGGGCTGTCCCTCACTGGCTTCTAAGTGGCCAGCGGCCCCAGCTAAGGAGCTGTCAGGAGGCGCCCCCTTGGCGCCTTCCAGCTGTGGCGACTATCCCAACTGTCCCAATCTGTCTGCCTCCCGGGCTTTTGCTGTCACTGCTCTTTTCTAAACAGCTCCCACATTTAGCTGGGCCTCTTTCCTGATGGCCCATTTCACAGGTTCTTCTGTTCCAGGCTCCCCTTTCTACCCACTGCTCTTCTCCAGAGAGAGAGAGAAGTAGAGGGAGAGAGAGGGAGAGGGAGAGAAGAGAGAAGGGGAAAAGGAAAGCAGGGGGGCAAAGACAGGAGAAGAGAAAAGAGGGCTGTAAGGCCGCCCCCCCGGGGGCTGGGGCTTGGGGGCCGTCATGCTCTGAGTGGATCACATGCTTTGGCTTATTTAACCCACACAATGACCAAGTAAAACAGGGACTGTTTCCTCACTTAGGAGGAAACTGAGGGGCAGGTGGAGAGTGGCTGAGGCTGAATGTGAATCCAGGCTGCCTGGCTCCAGGTCACTCTCCTCTGGCCAGGAGGAGGCCTGCCACTTCCTTCTGAATCCCCCAACTTGGATACCAGGCCCTCCATTGTGAAGCAGTAGCTGGGAATCAGCCTCCGGCAAAGGCAGACAGACTCAATGCAAGAGCCACAGTCCTGCCAATTCAGAGGGCTGCACTGTAGTCTTCAGTCTACTAGAAAATAACTGTATGGCTGTGGGCAGGTCACCATACCCCTCCAGGCTCAGCTTCTCCATCGGCTAAATTGGTGCCAGACATGCTGTGATCTTTTTTATGCCTCACTCCTCTGTTCTGTGCCCTTTCTAGATTGAATGTTCCAGTATTTCTGACTACTCAGAGAAGATCATTAAGGCCAACCACTTGGACAACAGTAAGACACACCTCCACGTATTTTCCCACGGAGGGAGGGAGTGAGGGGGCTTGCACTTTCTTGTTTGGGTGGTATAGACTGACATAAGAGGGAAGAGTACAGAGCACTTGGCCTTGGAATGGTGGAGCCTGGCTGAGGCCCTATTTGCAGGATGGTGCCCAGGAGGTTCTGAGGTTCCCCATCCCAGCCATCTCAGCCAAGGGCACGTTATTCCCAGCTCAGCTTCCATGGCTTAGCCACCATTCCTTCTGCTTGGCCCCAGCTGTAGGCATTCTATTGCTCTTCCTCCTCTTCTTTCCTCTGCACGGCCCCCAGCCCCACCTCTCCCTGTAAGCTAACCAGGGGCATCCTAGCAGACTCCGGGCTCTGCCTTTGGAGAAATGCGGTCCTCTACTGCCCACCGGGCCTGTTGCTGATGAAGCTGTCTTGGCAATTAGGCTGCCCTTGGGAGTGGGACCTTCTCCAGGCTGGAGTCTGATTATAAAGAGAGGTGTCCTCTCTACCCTTCCTCCCCTCACTCCTTTCCCATGCATTGCAACAGTTCCCAGGCCCTTTGTCCTGGAACCTATCTTGAACACACTCACACCCACAAGTGTCCCAGATCCAAAGAACTCCTTGCATCTTTTATCAGTCAACCTGATGTGATTTAGCCCCCAAGTCCTGTGCTGAGCTGGGCCAGATCATGTAGGTTGTATAAACTAGGAAAGCCAAGTTGAATTTTTTTTTCTAAGGATGATGGAGGCATTTTGGAGAAGTGGTTCCTATGGAGTATGGATCAGAATGGGTTGTAGGCATCAAGAGTGTAAGCAGAGACTCATTGGGCTATTTCAGTGCTCGGGGGATGTACTGTGGCAAGGATGGTGGCAGTGGAGGTGATTTGAGCACTTGGGCAAAATGCAAGGGGACCTACTGACGCAATGCATATTGGAATGATAAAAAGACAGGAGCAAGGGCTGTTTTGTTGCCTTGAGTAATGGGGGGGCGGTGGTGGAAGACTGAAAGTAGAGAATTCCTAGGGGTGATGGGAGGGAGAAAGGAGTCAAAAGTTCTCTTCAGCCCATGTCAGGTTTGAGATGGACATCCAATAGACATGTTAAGTAAGATGGGATATATAAGTCTAGAGTTCCAGGGAGAACCATATAGAGTTGGGAGTCTTTGGCATATGGATTTTATTTGAAGCTAGAGCATGATGTCACTTAAGGATAAAGTAGAGCTGGAAGAAAAGAAATGGGCCAAAGATAGGGCTCTAGAGCATTTTAATATCTGGAGGGCAAGCAGAGGAGAAGGGGCCAGCAAGAGGCAGAGAAGATACCCCCAGTGAGGCTGGTGGACCTTCAGGAGAGAGATGTACCATGAAGTCAAGGGAAGGAGATAGGGCCGAGTGTAGGGAATGCTAAGAGATCAAGTAAGGTAAGAATAGAGAAGTGACCATTGAGTTTGGCCACATGGAAGGTACTGGTGTTCTAAACAAGAGCGGACTCAATGTGGGGGGGTTTCTGAAGTCCAGTTAGAGTAGGTTAAGGGAGGGCTATAAGTAAGTCTTCTTGCTGTGCTGGGGCACAGAAAAATGGAACTGTATCTACAGGGGAATGTGGGGCCAAGGGAGGGAGTTGTTTTTTAAGGCTAGAGATATGGAAACATGTGTGTTTGATTCAATTGTCCAGGAGAAAGATACAGGAGTGAGGCCCTTGAGTTCAGAGCACAGGTTCAGGGGTTGGCCTTTTTCTTGGAGTAGGGAACCAGAGGGAAAGTGGAGGGTGTGGGTCCAGACAGAGGTGGGCTGGCAGTGGAAAGCCCCTGGTTTATTGCCTCCATTTCCTTTTCAAAGAATAAGACAGTCATTGGCAGAGAAGAAGGTGATGAGAAGAGACATGAGAAGGGATGGAATGGTCTTTTAGGAGGGAGAAAGGCAGATATAGTAGTAGGACTAGTGGGGATTGCTGGGGAGTGGTCAGTGCCTGCTGGAGATGAGTCAACACAGACAGGCAGTAAGCTTGGTCCACGCCTGAATTTCCCCCTACCACGCTCACCAGCTTGGGTGTGAGGAGGACTGCCTGGGTGGGGCATTTGATGGCAGAGCCTGGGAGTTGACTGCAATAATGGATCATGGAATCTAAGCTGGGGAAGGCAGGAAGTGAGGAAGGGAAGGGGGCGATGGTGGGTGAGCCACAGCACAAAAGGTTAGGGGTGGGCCACAAAAGGGGTCCAGAGGCCTCTTTCCAGCCTGAGTAGGGGAAGTGTTGCTCAGACACCCCTGACCTCTGGCCTTGGTGTCCAGCCTCTCTCGGTTCGCTCAGGGGAGCCGGCTGTTTCCTACGCTCCTCGGAATAGTACCTGACGTGGGCAGAAGGGAAAGAGGTGAGCGCTCTACTTGCCTACTACGATGGAAAAGAAGACTGGCCAGTTATTTCTCTACAAGGGTGAATCGGCCTGCCATCCCCCATGTTTTCATCGGATATCCCTTTCTCCAGCTCTGTGCCACAGCCGTGGAAGCTGAGGTTAGGAGAGCTAGGGCAGAACCTTCGGTCTTGGCTTTGCTCATGTCCTCTCCCCTGAAGTGTGTTTACGTTGATGTGGTAGCCCCAGCAGTGGCTGCCAATCCTGAAAATGAACATCAAAACCTCTTAGGAGAGGAGGGTGTGTGCAAATAGATGTCTGACCTGACGTCCTCTCAGTCCCATCCCTGGGCCCTAAGAGGCCTTCAAAGGACATTTGGACCATCCTTGCCTCTGTACAGGTTCTCTTGCGCAAGGACGTCTGCCCTTGGAGGGAAGTTCTGCCCAGCCCCCACTTACTTGTCATCTGTCTCTTGCTGCTGTCGGGATCTAGAGCCGTAGCCCCCCTGGTTTGCCGAGGTCGGCTGCCCATAGCCATTGGTAGCAGTGTGTGGGGCAGGCCTGAGCGGGAGAGGGGAGAACATTAGCTGAGGAGTGCCTGACCTCAGGAGAAGAGCAGTTTGGCTCTGGAGGCTTGCCAGGAAAAAGAAAGCCCACAACTCCTCACCATGAACTCTGGTCACACCTCGAGGGCCCCCCTCCCCCTCCCTGCTTCAGACTCCTGTAAACTATTTTATTCCCCTTCCTTTCCTTTTTCCCTTCTTTCCTTTAACCCTCAGAACATTCCACTTTATAGAAAAGGTGCAAGTTTCTCTTTTTCCCTGAATGCTTTGAAAGCAAGTTGTTGACATGAGGCCCCATCAGCCCTGAAGACACAAATGTGTGTGTCCTACAAACCGGGACATTTCTCTGCATAGCCACACTGCGCCCATCAAAATCAGGAGACTAGCGTTCTTACATTATTGTTATTGAGCGCTCAGATCCTACTGTTGGCCACTTGTCGAAAATAACACCCTTTATAGCAAAAGGATTCTGTTTCAAACCACGTGTTGCATTTAGTTGACATATCTCTGGTTGCCTTCAGGCTGGAGCAGCCAGACTTTCCTTGACTCTTGTCATCTTGATGCTTGAGGATCGCAGGCCAGAGTTCTGTAGAATGTCCCTCCGTCTGGGGATGTAGGATGCCTCTGCACTAATGGGTTCAGCTGAGATGCTGTGTCCTTCTCCCTGCACGCTCTTGGGGACATGCAGTTTGGATTTGTCCTGTCACTGACAGCATTGACTTTGATCCCTGCTTAAGGTGATGTCTACCAGGCTTCTCCACGGTCACATTGCTCCTTCTCCTTTTGTAATGAGTAGGATTTTCTGGGGGAGGCGGTTTGAAACCATGTAAATACTTCATTCATTATCATTAATTCCTTATTTTATTCAATAGGTTATGTCTGTTATTATCAATACTCATTTTGAAACACAAATTGTTCCTAATTTGGTCACAGGACCCCCTTCAAGCTGGCTTCTGCATCCTTTTGTCATTCCTTCTTCATTTTTTTTGTGAGCTTTCTTATTTTCTGGCACAAATGTTCCAGGTTCACCTTGTACTTTACATGGCTTTGTTTTAGAATCAGTCATTTCTCCAAGGAGTCTTGAAGTCCATTTAGTGGACGATGGCATTTAGAAACTAGGATCTGGGGCTAAGTGTCCTCATTGATTTTAGGGCGTTGATGTCCCCAGGGCTGCTTCAGTGGAAAGAACTAGAGAAGTGTGTGTGTATGTGTGTACATAGGCATTTACATAACGTGTGTTTCTGAATCTATCTACACATACTGTCAAGTGTGAGTTCACGTGATGCCTTGGCTGCAACCAGCCCCACCAGGTGCTCTAACTTCCTCCCTTCCCACGTTGGAGATTCCTTTCTCTGATGGTGAAAAATCTGGCTCTCACTATTCTTAACATGTTTACTTATTGAATCAATCCCACCGTATGTGCACCATCTCCCACTGTCAACACCTCGTGCCCAGTGCAGATGTGTCTGTCACCCCGTGCTGGGCTCTGACACGTGCATGGGCACTCTCCTCTCCCTGCTCGACTCCAGTCCGCTGAGCCAGGCTTGCTTCCTGTGCAGGGACCCACTCGCCCCCTTGGACCCTCCCCTCACATCCAGTGTACCAAGGGGGAGGGAACTCCAGGGCCAGGGGCCCTTCCAAGGCAACGTTGTTCCCACTTCTTCCTTCCCCGAGCACAGCAATAGGTGGCCGCCCAGGGCCCCGACTGTGGCACCTGCTCACTCAGCCTTGGCATGTGTACTGGAAAGAGGACAGCTTGACTGTATGAATGCTTCCATGGAAATGCTTTTGAAATGTTGCAACAGCCAGTTGTGTGGGGCTCAGGAGTGTAGGTGTAGAGACATAAATAACAACACAGGACATAAAATACCTGCCACCCAGAATCAATCAAGCCCTTTCCCCATCTACCTCCACACGGTTCCTGGGGAGGGGTTTATCCCCATGGAGACACACACCTCCACGAAGCCACCTGCAGCGGTCTCACAGCGTCACATGGCTTCTACCACACGGGTGGCCCACTCTTTGACTTAAGCACTATTATTTCCTCTGTTTCCCTGCTGAGGAAGCCAGGGTGCTATTGCCGGGATGCCTCAAAAGGCAG